ATGCAAGATTATGTCCTAAAACATTATCACAACAATTAGCAATAAACCTCTGACAGTGGAGTTCTACTGAACGTAAATGTACTTAATACAGTACGATGTAATGCTGCTGAAGTACACTCAGCCATACTAGTTATTAGGTACAAAAACAGACAAACCCGTCAACATGCCTTGAGGACGTCCTTCAACCCAGTCAGGATCACTCACTCCTCAAGGACAACGCATGTATCGATGACGTCAGTTCCATCTCTCACCGTTATGACACCCACCGTCCCTCCTCCTGTGGACGTCTCCTCCACGTCCGTACTTCGCGTAGACACATTCCTTACGGGCAGCAGAAGAAGTTGAATTTAAGACATTTTTACTGCACGGCCAACAGAAAAGTCCAAAACAAATCACTAAATTATTGAGAAAACAATTATTTAAAAGTCCTCACCTCCACAGTGGGCAGCGTCGTCCTTCACACAGTGGAGTCGGCCCAGCATGACAACTGTTGTTTTCCTGTGTTTAGTCCTTCAAAACAAAGGACAAAAGGTTCAGTTAATGTTGACCGTCTCTGGAATCTATGTTCGAATCATCCAGTGTGAAAACTTGGAGTTTTTTTAAAACGTAAATATTTGATAAATAAAAAAGGGGAACTTGATGATGAACTCTATGATGAAGAAGGAAAAGTATTCTAATGCTTACGTCATTTTTCCTTTTTTTTTCAACAGCTTTTCCATTGTGAAATCCAGCGTTCCACTCCTGGTCTTAAGGAACCAGTCGAGATGTTGGTCCAGCCCCACAACGAAGCATCTTTCTGGGTCGGCACGTGTGACGCCAGCAGGTTCTGCTTCAACCTGGGAATGGTGAGAGGAAAAAAAAATTATTTTTACCGTTCCTCATGGAATTTAATATCCCTTTTGACATTTGTGACACAAAAGAAAAAATCATTTTGAGGCTCAAACATTTTCTAGATTAGAGAGAAATTCTGTCTTAAGTAAATCTGGGTCTAGATCAGCCTTACTATAGCCTTACCATCGTGAAAATATCCAAAAAAATAAAGTTAAGCAGTCACTGTACGTGTAGTTAAACCTCTTCATTTAACGCTTGCAGTTTGTTGCACTAACTGTAAAATGTGATTTTATAAACAGATACAAAATAAACTGTTTATTTATTTACCAACCTAAACCCATTGCTTTAAGTCGTCTAAGTCTAATAAAATAAATAAATAAAATCAATTGACCATAACTGTAATCATTATCTTCTCAGCATTTATTGAGGCTTGTCAAATACAATGTGTTACATTGTTTATCACAACAATTAGCAATAAACTTCTGACAGTGGAGTTCTACTGAAAGTAAATGTACTTAATACAGTACGATGTAATGGTGCTGAAGTACACTCAGCCATACTAGTTATTAGGTACAAAAACAGACAAACCCGTCAACATGCCTTGAGGACGTCCTTCAACCCAGTCAGGATCACTCACTCCTCAAGGACAACGCGTGTATCGATGACGTCAGTTCCATCTCTCACCGTTATGACACCCACCGTCCCTCCTCCTGTGGACGTCTCCTCCACGTCCGTACTTCGCGTAGACACATTCCTTACGGGCAGCAGAAGAAGTTGAATTTAAGACATTTTTACTGCACGGCCAACAGAAAAGTCCAAAACAAATCACTAAATTATTGAGAAAACAATTATTTAAAAGTCCTCACCTCCACAGTGGGCAGCGTCGTCCTTCACACAGTGGAGTCGGCCCAGCATGACAACTGTTGTTTTCCTGTGTTTAGTCCTTCAAAACAAAGGACAAAAGGTTCAGTTAATGTTGACCGTCTCTGGAATCTATGTTCGAATCATCCAGTGTGAAAACTTGGAGTTTTTTTAAAACGTAAATATTTGATAAATAAAAAAGGGGAACTCGATAAATAAAAAAGGGGAACTCGATGATGAACTCGATGATGAAGAAGGAAAAGTATTCTAATCCTTACGTCATTTTTCTTTTTTTTTTCAACAGCTTTTCCATTGTGAAATCCAGCGTTCCACTCCTGGTCTTAAGGAACCAGTCGAGATGTTGGTCCAGCCCCACAACGAAGCATCTTTCTGGGTCGGCACGTGTGACGCCAGCAGGTTCTGCTTCAACCTGGGAATGGTGAGAGGAAAAAAAAATTATTTTTACCGTTCCTCATGGAATTTAATATCCCTTTTGACATTTGTGACACAAAAGAAAAAATCATTTTGAGGCTCAAACATTTTCTAGATTAGAGAGAAATTCTGTCTTAAGTAAATCTGGGTCTAGATCAGCCTTACTATAGCCTTACCATCGTGAAAATATCCAAAAAAA